CGGGATCGTCACGGTGCGCCCAGCCAGGAACTTAGCGCGCTATCTACTGAATTTAAATAGCAGGCTTTCACACATAAAAGTGACGTTGTTATGTAATTAAGTTTATTTTTTTTGAAGTAAAATCTATATAGGTATTGAAGTGCGGGTTAGAAGAACAACGTGAATGTTTGGTGGATGGTGGTTACTTAGTTCAAAGCAGTAGTGTTTTAGGGAACGTTAGCGGACTATGTTTGCTGCGCTTCTAAAAAAAGGGTACTTCATATGTTGCCTTCAGTGAAAGCAATGCGGCCTTTGTGCCAGCGCGGGTGGGCTCGGGGGGCACGGAGGGATGGGAAGGGCGCTGCAAAGAAGAGCCTAGAGATAGCAAAAAAGAAGGCATGGTCCAATTGCATTTCTTTTAAGGTCAACTAATTTATGAAAATACTATTCATGTTTAAACTTCTAAAATAAAAATATGTTTTCTCCCATTTTTTAATCATCATCCTCCTCTTCATCATCCTCAACGTCTTCCTCATCTTCCTCTTCCTCAGCTGATGCTAAGGCTTCTTCCCTCGCAGCCTTGAAAGCCAGTTCCTCTTCCAGAGTGGGGTCACTCGCCTCGGTGACGTCTGGCCCGCTCGGGTATTCTGCTTGCACCGGCGGAGGCAGTGCGGGAGTGTGGTTCTCTGGACTGTATTTGTGACCCCAGCCAAAGTAGATATTATCAAATTTCCTGAGAAAAAAAAGTGAAAGATCACACGTTCTCCCCCTGAAAAAACATCAGTGGAGATACTGTCAGGCTTCCTTACCCTGCTGTGCAAAAAGTTACTGTGGTACAGATAGCCGGTAACAGAAGTATTTAAAAGATGGCACCTCTTTTTAACTGCTGTAACTGTTGATTAATATATCTTCCACTTTAATATCTCCAAATGATAAAATGATGAAGGCTGTACTCTGGCAATACACTGTATTGCAATACGACTCCAACTTCACATTGGTAACATAGCGCCGTTTCTGACACCAACTCCAGTGCCCATTGAAAAGCACATAGAGGTAATGACTGTACCATGTATAGTGGAAAACAGTGAACATTAGTACTACAGAATGTAGCTGGTTTTGTAAAAGGTACCACAATATAGATTTTAAATCAAGGACTGTGCCCAAATACTAACTGGACATTTATATCCATTAACTTTATACTAGCCTTGCCAATGATTATTCATTTCCAGTCTTCAATACATATTTACGGTTGCTGTACACATTTAAGTGGCCTTCTCCATAATAGTTAGAATTCAGTCAATGAATTGATAATAAAGCAACTTTGACTTCATTAGACAGGTATCTGTGTTTAGCATATACAGTCTGTGTTGTAACCATGTCAACGAGCTACTCACTTGCCAGATGCAAAGGCATATGCTCCGGGCCATCGGTTAGACTGGAGGATTGCAACAGCGTATTGCGGGATCAGGTTTGTAGAAGGCTGAGCTGTCCAAGCAGGCATGTTTTGAATTCCTGGAGGTGGCCAAACACACACAGTCTATGCATAAATTGACTTACGAGCCTCTACAACATATTTAAGACTGACCTACAAGACTTTCACAGAATTCAAGCAGTGGTTATGTTAAGTTGCATGTTAGTAGAGCCGGAAGTCAGAAACGATAAATGTAGGCACTGTATTCAAACAGCTGGTTTGGATGTATGGGTAGGTAGCATAGGGATGCTATTAGAGCCATGTACACGAAAGATCATGCTCCTGAAATTCAGTAGTACTCACGGCTGTTTCCTTTGTCAAGGACTTTTTATCACTTATGGATAAATTATAGATATTTCACCTTGATCAAAGAACGGAGAGTAGGAAAATAATTCACTATTGATGTAATCTAATATTCAGGTTCCCATGTTCCCATGATTTACTGCAGGATCATGCTACAGGATCTAAATTCTTATTTGTATATTTATGCATGCGTGTACGTATATATATTTTTTCATTTCACATGCACACACACTTTTTTTTTGCCTAAAAAATGATGGAAAAATAGCTGAATGTATTTCATGTAGTGAGCTGTCTTGAACTTGCAGTAGCCTGACAAGTCTGAGGTATTTTTTCCCTTTATTCTCAACCAGAGTGTTAACTAGTAAACCCAGTTATTTTAGTTTTAATGTCAATACTGTTAACCATTTTGCTTTTGATCAATTTTGTAAAAGAATGTGCTTACCCTACAGGGGCAAACTATATCGCTTCATGAAGTGTCAGAGCCCTATAACGTCAAATATTTACTACCTAAAGGCCAACATTCCTAGTGGCGCTCTGTCAAAAACTTCATATTCCATGAAGAATACCTTCATCTGCAGAGAGTGGAGTGAGAAGAGGTGGTCCTATTTCTTGCTGTAGTTCATCTGGCTCCTCTGCTTTCTCCTGCTCTTCATCTTCTTCTTCTTCTTCTTCTTCTTGCTCTGATTTTTGAAAAGGATTAATCCAAACACAGCGACCCTATAATGGATAAGGAAAAATAATAAATACATGTAACAATCACTGAAAGAATGCAAGCCCGTTAAAAGAATTGGTGCTGGCACACACACACACAGTTAAGGGAGGGGGCGGAGAAAAGAAAAATATATATTCCATAATTGATATATTGTTGGCAGAATATTGTATCCTCTTGGCAGAACGTCGCCTATATCCCTCATTCCTCCCTCACCCCTGCTTACTATTTCAAAAGAACCTTACACCTCTGTCATCAGCTTCTTGTTATTTTGTAGTCTTCAGTTCCTTGCCAGTTGGTTTATATCCTTGCTAGATTACCAGGTACTGCAAACTAAGAGGCTTAACTTATGGACTTTGTCCCTTCCTTTTAAAGTCTGCCTTGTTATTTAGCTACCAGTCAGAGGAACATAATAAAATGCTCTTAAGATTCTAATGCATAGAGATTTTATTTTTACAACTATTGTTTTGCTGGTAATAATTTTAAGCCTTATTTCCTATCATTTACTGTTATTTTACGCTAGTGTGCTTGAATTGGTCGACTGGCCAGCAAGTCATCCAGTAATGATGTTCAAATTAGTAATACCTCTTTCCAGCACTAGCCTGGTATCACAAGGTTTTAAGCTTTTTCGTTTGCATGTTTCACAGCAGAAAGTAAGCAACAAAAAATAAACCAGAAGAAAACATCAAATAAGTTCCATTTAGCATAGAATCATAAGCTATTTGCATTTTAGCATCCTACCCAAGAAAAGAGAATTTAAAACATTTTTGTTAAGAAATGACTTCAAAAGAGAAAACCTAATATGGAAGATTACCAGAAATTATTGTTATCTGTCAAGGCCTAACTCCATACTGTTATCTAAAATTAGGTTTTGGTCTCAAAGAACACATCATTGAAAAAAGTACTAAACCTAGAAGGTTCCTAAATATATATACATATATATAAAAAAATACATGCTATATGTAAATATGTGCAACATATATATTTTATACTATATCAAATATATTTTCTGTAGAAAAATATTTCCGTCCAATACCATTTCTGGTGAATAGTTCAAATGTGCAGGTGAGGAGTGTCATTTACATTCTGAAACCCTGCAAGTACTACCGTGTGAATGGTATCTGAGGTCAATGTGAGCTATGCCAGAACATACCTGCTCTAGGATACTCTGTACATGGTGTACCCATGTGGAGAGAGAATCCACCATTTCAGGCACAGAAAGAGGCTGAAAATCAGGGTTTTCTTCATATGTATCTCTTCCTCCTCCTTCCCCCTCCTCCTCTTCATCTCCTTCCTCCTCTGCGAACTGGTAAAATCCAATAGGAGAGATCTGGTCTGCTGAGATCCGAGCTATCTGTGCACGCAGATAATTGGCCTCATTTCCAGGGAAAGGAGGAAAGCTCACAACAGGAGCATCCAGCCTACCGGTGAAGAACTTCTTGATTTTCCTGGCACAGACAATCTGGGCTGGTGTCACTGGAGGCAACTTCACCCAGGGTTTACCTGGCTCATTACAAACAAAGTAGATATATTTATTAGCCCCAGTCCCATTTTCTTCTTTTGGGATGACAGGTGGGGGCTTATAGGTGGACTTTGGTGGTTGGTCTTCTTTTTCTTTGTCCTCATCTTCCTCTTCAACCTCACCCATCCCTTTCCTTCCTTCCTCAATAACTTCTTCCTCTTCTGTTTCCTCCTCCTCTTCCCCCTCATGGTACTGTACTTCAGCTATAATATAGTTCATCTCCAGGCCCAAAATTTTGCCCCAGAAGCGACAGGTCTGGATTGGCTGAACACTAATTAGTTTTTTAAGGGCAAGGAATATGTGATAGGATTCATCTTTGCTCAAGCCAATTCCAGCCTGTTCAAAATAAAAGGCTGTTTCCATCACATTAGGTAGAGGGGTCTCTTCCTGGGAAAGAAGATCCAGAGTTAGAGCTGAAGAAAAGCATAATTATCTATTTGAAAAATTAAACATGTTATCCACTGAATATTATACTTTACTTTCCTGTAGTGCCACTCATTCTGTCAAAGTGCTTTGCAGATATTCATTCACTAAGTCTTCTACTGTCATTTAGAAAAATTTAAAATGCCATTTTAAGGGTAAAGAAAAGAACACAGATGAACTGCAGCTTTTAGAATACAGGATTTCAAAATTCAGACTCCTAATTACTGCAAAATAAGGAAAGTCAGAGTTCTTACACAGGATCTTCACAGGACTTCAATGCTAGGGCATGTAAGAGGCCTTGACGCCCGCAAATAGTGTTACTGTGTTTCCTTCTGTTTGTGACAGGTGCATTTGGGGAAAATATAATACATATTTTATATATTTAGACACAAGATCAGCAATATTTCTCTGGAGTGAATGTTGTTCTTTTGAAAACCTTTGCATAAAGCTCCCTGCATTTTTAAAAATTCTGGCCCCTGCTCTTACTGAAGTTCATAGTAAGACTCCAGCTAGCTTCAGTGGAAGTAGAACTAGGCCAATAATGAAGATTTCATGAAATATTTCCATTTGCTTTATCACTCTTCTCTTATTTCATGGGGGTAGGTGATTATGTCACACAGACAAAGATATTGGAAGTTATACATGGCAGGGTAGGGAATTTGGAAGAAGTAGCGCTTGTTTTGTATGGAATTTCTTTGGTCCTTCCAGGTTTCTTATATCAAAGCAAGATAGACAGGAGTATGAAAAATTCAAAATTCCTTTCTGAAATACCCTACTTTTTTCCTCTTTTACCATCGTATACTGTTACTGTAAAATAAGTAATAGGCTATGGAAAAGATGAAAGACTATCTCTTCTGTTGTTAGTATTTGTATTCTGCAATGTCAATTAATTTTAATATATACTGGTAACGTCATATGAAAAACAACATCTTGTTGATTAGATTCCCTTGGTTATTATGAGAACTCTCTTAATTTTTCATTGGGTACAAATGCTTCTGCATGTAAGCAACTGAATACGGAAAAATCCCCTGGTTTAAGAAGTAGCTTTTCAATTCTAGTAGTTCTTCATTATAACCATATTTTTTTATTTGGAGAAGAACAGACTGGAACCACAGCTGGAGCTGGACAGATCACAAAATTCTCCATTCTATATTTTACAGTGGCAGCTCTGCACAATATTCTCGAACTGGTGTCCAGAATTATGGTCACTTTAGGTAAAGAAATGTCACTTTTAGATAAAGAGAAGAAATTTGGATGCAATATTGTGTGCTGAACTAGCATATGGGAGATATTGTAAACCTTACTTTCTGTTCATCATCTCTGGAACATCTATGATTTTAAAGGCTCAGGATATTAGATTTACTACAGTAAAAAATCCTGAGTAACCAGATGGGTTTTCTTCTTTACAACTATACGTGGCACCAACTCAGCTATGAAGAAGGTACATGGTACTGTGGCTGCAATTATTTTTATAGATCTATATGTATATAATTGTGAGAGACAATACTACAAAGGAGACCACAACTTCCTCCTTTCCTCCTTTCCCTTCCCACCATCCTCCCACCCGTTCCCTGGTATATATGATATCTATTTTTCTCTGATAATAACTCACTATCTCTTCTTCTAGTTCTTCATCTCCTTCTCCATTTGCTTTGAGGAACAAAGCTTTACACTTTTCTGCAGCTTCAAATGTTGGAAGAATCTCATGTTCATCTCGAAGAGTGTCCATTTTTTTCTGAAACTGAGCCCACTTCACATCCTTGCTGACATTCTCAATTATGTCTACTGCGTTTGTGGGCTGTTCATCCAGGATCTTTGTTAGCATATTAGCAAGATGATCATATCTGTCATATAAATGTAAATATTATTGGCCTGCTACAAAAAAGGCTTAGAGTATTATCTTTTTAATATCAAAAGTAGAAGCTAATCATCTGGAGCTTTGGAGAAATTGTTGAAATAGTTAGATGAAAGGGGATCATGGAGCATTATGGGAAATTAGACATGAAGCTAGCATGATTATAATATACTTAGGAGTAGTCCCATCTTTCATTTTTGGTATATACCACACCTGCCTCAAGAGCTGAAGCTGAATTTAAACTTGCTCTTAATCAAATCAATTACCCTTTGAACTCTATAAATTCGCTTAGGAATTTTGATTCTTGAAGATGTTGGACACATGCAAGTATCACATAATGATGAACTATTGCATTTATAACGTACTCTCCCATTCTATATATACCCCCCCGGTATCCCTCCCTTTCTTAATATAACCCTTTGCCCTTTTACTAACACTGCTTTTCTCTCCACTCATACTTCCTACCCCTTTCAATTGTGTCCCTTTTTCAGACTTACAAGTTCAGGCCAGATGTTGTGCTGCTCTTCAGTAAATAGGCTTTTGCATTCTGAATTGCCAGCATTCGGGATTTGGGATCGGGCATCTGATCATCATATGAACTGTATCCTGGCTGATAAAGACCATACCCTGGTTCGTGTGGCTGATAAGGGCCGTGCCCACGTTCATAGGCTTGATAGGGATCTTGTCCTACTGCGTATGTCTGATAGGCACTTTTTGGTTCCTGTGTTTGGTAGGGGTCTAATCCTAGCGCATATGACTGGTAGGTGCTTTGCCTTGCCTCCTGTGCCTGGTAAAAGTCTTGGCCCAGCGTGTGTCTCTGGCTGATGTTTATTTCTGGCACCTGTAGTTTGTGAGAGGCTTGTTCAGCTCCCCGTGGGTGATAGAGGTGGTGAGTTGGGGTCTGTGATTGATACGGCGCTTGTCCCGGTGCATGGGTCTGGCCAACACGTCCTCTTTGGTCTTGTGCTTGGTAGGGGCCTTGGTCGGGTGCTTGTGGCTGACAGACGCTCTTTCTCAGTCCTTGTGGCTGATCAGACCCTTCCCTTACCCCTTGGTGTTCACGGGAAGCTGGTCCCGACTGCTGAGGCTGATAAGGGTCTCGTTCAGGCTCAAAGCCCTCAGAAGGCGGCTGCCCGGGACCCCCCTGAGGCGGGTGGGAGGTGTACGGCTCGGGCAGGTCGGGGCTGTGTCCGGGC